GCCAATCATTAGTAGACAAGATGGTGATATTACTTCTTCCTCATAAGAAAGAAAATAAAGATACCAACTTTAGAAACCAAACGTCTTCTGTTCATTTTAATGTCTTTTGACGTGAGAAAGAGGAGGTGACATCCACATCAACCAAAAAATGGGTGAAATTGTGCCAAATGTGAATGCTGTGTTTATTTGTTCAGTGTGGTTACATTTAATATCATGACACCGATAGTCTTTGAAAAAGAAAAAGTGCCACCAGAAATTTCAGCTTTGGTCTTTTACTGGTCACAGAAGTGTAGACATGAGTTTAGTGCTAAAACCATATGGGAGTCCCAACACAGCTGATTCCATGGAAATTGCCCCAGACGTTGAAGTATCACATGGGCAATTACCCGGCGTCTGGATCTCTCTGAAAACGTTGCCATCTCTGTGTTAGACCGTAAACACAGTAAGATTTAGGAGCAGAATTACACCATTCAGCCTATTGAGCATGTTCTGCTATTCAATCATGGCTGATATGCTTCTTAACCCCATTCTCCTGCCTCCTTCCTTTAACCTTTGATCCCCCTTACTCATCAAGTACTCATCTTAAATATGCTCAATGACTTGGTCTCCACAACCGTCTTCAGCAATGAATTCCACAGATTCACCACCCTCTGCTGGAGAAATTCCTCCTCATCTCAGCTCTAAAGGGTCACCTCTTCACTCTGAGGCTGTGCCCTCGGTCCCTAGTCTCCAAAATAAGCTTCACGAGCTGTTGGAGTGGGAATTGAACTCATGCCCCAGAAGCATTGACATTTGGCCTCTGAATTACTCATCCATTGATATTACCACTACACCTCGATCTCCTATTTTTAGAGTGAGACACTTTGGAGGTTTCTGAAACTTTCACCCAATATTATCCAGGAAAGGTCAGGCGAATTAAAATCTATTGTAATTTCTAAGTATATTAAACTGACAACCCCTCAATTCCATTTGGACTTGGGGGAGGCAATGGCTTAGTGGTATTATCGATGGACTGTTAATCCAGAGACACAGGTAATGTCCTGTGGATTTAGGTTCGAATCCTGCTACAGCAGATGGATTTGAATTCAATTAAAGTCTGGAATTAAGTCTAATGGTGACCATGAATCCATTGCCGATTGTCGGAAAAACACATCTGGTTCACTAATGTCCTTTAGGGAAGGAAACTGCGATCCTTACCTGGTCTGGCCTGCATGTGACTCCAGGCCCACAGCAATGTGGCTGACTCTTAACCGTCCAATTAAGGGATGCGCAATAAATATTGCCTCGCCAGCGATGCCCTCGTCTCGTGAATGAATAAAGGACACCCTCCCCCTTCTCCCCCTGCTTTCAGACCTGACCTGATTCTGCACCATCTTGAACCCAGATCCTTTTCCAACACCCAACACTGTACACCAGATTTGAACCACCAACCACCACCCTGACACAATCCGTTTCTCCCCATCTGAACATCTCAACCCTCACCAAACGGGACAGAACTCCAAAATGTCCCTACTCCAGGACATCCAACACACCTCCTCCATTTCATCTCAACCCAGCCTGACAGGACTCCCTCCAATTCCCCATATACCAAACCCCTTGACCCAACTTCCTCCTCTCCCCCAACTTTGCTGATCCCTGAGACTACGTATGCTCTGATGGTGCCACCCCTGCGACTGAACCCACCATGACTGCCCATTCCCACCTGTCCACCAACCTTAGCACCCAACACTTAACTGTCAACCTACCCCCTCACCCACCTGACACACAACCCTTCAACCACCTGCCACCCTACCCCTCAACCAAGTGCTATCCTAAGCCCTCACCCAGCTGTTCCCTACCTTCACTCACCTGCCACTCTACCCCCATAATCATGTGGCAACTTATCCCCTCCCCTAACAATTCGATCCATCCACCAGGAACTCTACCTGTCACCCACTTGGCATCCCATCCACCCCTTACCGGAACCCCAAACCACTATGGCACCCCAATCTCACCCAGCCGACAACCTTACCCCTCAGCCACCTGCCACCCAAACCCACTGAGCTAAGTGGCAACACAGCTCCTCACCACCTGCCACACTAACCCTGTATCTACCTTGCAGTACTCCTCACACACCTGCATTCTACCTCCTCACTTACCTGACACATTTACCCTTCTCTCTTTAGCTGTGAAAGCGGCTTCAGGACTTGTAAATCATGGGAAACAGCAGGAAGCACCACAAGAAAGGGACAAGGTTGCAACATTGGTATACTTCAATGCCAGACTTAATGGATTTTCACCATGGACTAGACTGCTCTAGCTGAGAAGGTTGCTGGCGCGGACCTCTCACAGAGATAGGATTTCCAATCCCGATTGGAAGATCTGGGCCCATACCCACTCGATCCAGATTCCTATGCACTGAATACGAACAGAGAGTGGTAAAACATCTGTAGTCAATCTAGCATCTTATTGTAACAGAACATCTTTTAATACAGAATTTGTGGTTGACTTTTTCACCAAAGACTTTAACAGTATCAAAACATCTCATTCTAAATAAGGTGCCTAAAGCTGAGCACATGTAGGAACAATTCTCAGAATTTAATTACTACTTCTGTCATGATCTTGGCCTTGTGACTTGTTTACAATCATAAAATATAAAATTATAATGGAAACTCCATCTCCTGAGTTGAAAAGATAGGCTTACACAGAATCATAGAGTCACACATCACAGAAACAGACCCTTCAGTCCAACTTGTCCATGCCCACCAGACATCCCATTCTGACCTAGTCCCATTTGCTAAATTTTGGCCCATATCTCTCCAAACCCTCCCTATTCGTATACCAATCCAGATACCTTTTAAATGTTGTAATTGTACCAGCCTTCACCACTTCCTCTGGCAGCTCTTTACATACATACACTACCCTCTCTGTGAAAAAGTTACCCCTCAGATCCTATTTAAATCTTTTCCCTCTCACCTTAAACCTTATGCCTTCTCGTTTTGGGCTCTCCCACCCTAGGAAAAAGGTCTTGGCTATTCACCCTATCCACGCCCCTCATGATTTTATAAACCTCCATAAGGTCACCCCTCAGCTTCTGATGCTCCAGGGAAAAAAGCACCCGCCTATTCAGCCTCTCCCTATAACTCAAACCCTCCAGTCCCAGCAACATCCTTGTAAATCTTTTCTGCACCCTCTCAAGTTTAACTACTTCCTTCCTACAGAAGGGCAACCAGGGTTGTAAGAAGTTTTCTATAAGTCGCCTAACCAATGTCCTGTAAAGCCACAAGATGACATCCCAATTCCTATACTCAATGCACATATCTTTTGGAATAAAATAAAAAGTGCTGGAATATCTTTGCAGGTCTAGCAGCATCTGTGGAGAGAGAAAGAGTTAATGTTTTGACTCCAATATAACTCTCCCTTCATTTTAGACAAACTAAACAATGCCTGAGGAGCTCAGGCTTGGTTATTTTCCTCTTGCGAATGTGGGCATCACTGGCAAGGGGCATTTGTTGCCCATTCCTAAATGCCCTGAAATTGAGTGACTTACAAACAACGAACAAGAGTAGGCCGCTCGGCCCTTCAAGCCTGCTCTGCTATTCAATAATACATGGCAGATCTATTTTAACCTCAACTCTACATTTCAGAACACCCCAGCCCCCTCTGCTAACCTTTCATCCTCTTGCTGGGTCATTTCAGAAGACAGTGAAAAGTCAACCACTTGTCTGTGGATCTGGAGTGACCTGTAGATGAGCCTAGGTAAGGATGGAAGATTTCCTTCCACAAAGGACATTTGTGAACTCAATGGGCTTTCTACAACAATTCTTGATAGCTTTATTTTGAGCATTACCAAGATGAGCCATCAATTCCAGATTGATTTGTTGAATTAAAGTTCTTCCAGCTTCTATGTTGGAAGTTTAACCCATGTCCCCAAAGCATATCTTAAGCCTCTAAATTACTAATCCTGAGACATTCCCACTAAACCTCATAGCCAAAGCAAAACATCCACTGTTAGATGTGATTGCATGACTAGGCAGTACTTGCTGAACAATCCTGAGCACGCTGATAGCAGCAGGAACACCCAATTTAAGGTCATCTGTCAAGTTCGTACAGTGGCTCATTTATGCTTGCAAGAAGTAACACACATTTACGTTCAAAAGAAATACGTTCAACCCTTGTGACGTTTTTGAATTACCGGGGAACTTGGGGAGGTTATAGTTCCTGTTGGTTTCTCCATGGCAACACCTCAAATAATCAAAGTTGCCTTGCCAACTCATCAGCACTCTTTTGTCCATTACTATAAATTGTTGTAATTGTTATACATTTGGCATTGTTGACTGTGCTCTGATGAATGCATGATTAAAAGATTTGGCAACAAATCTCTCCTTTTCAGCAACATTCAAATTGTCCAAGTATTTGGGGACGAATAGCTTGGGCAAAAGCACTAGCTGAAACGAGTTGCTTTGACTCAATCATTTACTAATCTTTCATTCTATTCCACTGTTGTATATTGAGATGGGAATAATGTTAGGCCAACTGATTGTCATTTCGACATATCTAAGGAGGTATAAACTAAATGTGTTTTTAGAATGAATGAAATATAAAGTATCTTTGAGTTTATAGTACATAAAATATTTCAGTTTCTATAATATTGGGGAGAAAATCCCCACAATTAAGTATTGCAAACAGTAATCTATTGACAGAAATTCTTTTCTGCATTTATTAGAGAAATACTCATTTCAAATGCTTCTAGATTGACAACCAGGCTGACACTTAGTGCTAAAATTATATGAAACAAAAGTCATGTTTTATGCGCGGTCAGGTGTTCTCCCACTCCGCACTCCTTTGAAGAAAACTACCTGAATGACAGCTGTTCCAGCCATCGATTTACGAGACTACTTCAAACAGAAGCTGGATTCCGGGTACTTTAAAAAAAACAGCGAAGCGGCATCCCCATTCTAGTCCGGCTTTCACTTTAAATGTGACAAATCCCTCCAAACCAAAACATCCGTCTTCACTCGGAGTCAACAGAGCGGAAAGCTGCTTGCTATTTTCCGATTGGGCGGTGGGGAGCTCCCTTAGGCAGGTTCGCCTGGTTGTTTGTGGTGGGATTGGTGTGTGGGGCTGTTAATCCGGACCCCTCCCCAGCGCGGTGCAGCCGGCAGATGATTGAGGAGTATTACAGTGGGGTGTGACCGTGCCCTGGTTTCCAGTTTCTGGATTGTCACGGTGGAGGGAACTTGCAGCCATGAGAAGTAAGCAAAGACTTAATGCACTGCTCGTTATTTGTGCCTTTGAACGAAAGAAGGGGACTGAAATGCCGGTGAAACTGATCCACCCGTGATGAATTTGTCTTTCTAGGAACCGGAGGCTGTGGGAGTGATGTTCAGTGGTGTTTTACTCAAGTGAAAGGTACCACGGACCTTGATGTTTCCGAAGGTAGGGAGTGATTCTGCTAATATTTGTTACTGTGGAGGAAATGCTATGTGTGTACGTGTGTGCATGCACACACACGCACCCCACTTAATTACACCCGCTCATTCCTTCTTGTACCATTTATCTTTTAGAATACTTGAAATCAATATTTGGTTGAGTGAGAAATGTGTGGAATGAATTGACATTTGAAATGGATTGCAATTGCTGCAATGCTCTTTTTAGTGTGTCAGAGGTGGAACCGTCTTCTATTAATTTTAGGTAATCACTGTCAGTGTTGAAGTGTCAAAAATGGCAATAGCCAAAAATATTCCATGTTTGCAATTCATGTTTGGTGGAAAGGAGGAATTGCACAAGAGAAACTAGCAGCACAGGCAGGTGATCAGTCTGTATCTGCAGTTCCTACTATCTCTGCCACTAATTCAACCTCTTCTGATGCTAATGTAACCAGTTCGCACAGTGATTCAACCTTTTATATATGCTTAAGAGTTCTGGTATGTGACCATTGGATATGAATGTGTGACATTCGCTAATTTGCTCAACCTTTTCACTATAATTTTTTTGAATAATATTCAACCTGTTCAGTGATGTCACTACACACCTCTGGAGCAGGTGAGACCTGAACCCTTTGGTAAGAGGCAGTGATACTACCACTGTACCATAACAGTCCCCTTCACGCTATAAATGCTTCCAACAAAACACAAACATAAACACCTGAAAATGATTTCAGTTTAGATAGGTCAATCAGACCCCATTAGTAGGATTCACAGATGAGAACAGTGCTTGGGAAATGATTGGTTTAAAACTGTTACTCCTGCTGACCCATCTAAGATTCATACTTTTCACAGTGTCTAATTTAGTGCTGTGGAAATATTGTTACACCTGAAATTTCACTTTACACGAATCTCCTCTTTCTGTCATCCCCCCACCCCCCACTGTTTGCTCTACAAAGACGTAAAACAACTTTGGTCCTGGTGAGTTGTACCATCTGTCGCTTTCTGTAACTGTGCTGTCCTCTGTGTGGAAGTGCCTCCCATCACACTGTGTACCTCCAGAGTAAGACTAGAGTTGTTCATGAGGGAATCACAAGGTAGCAGTGCTGCTCAGGTTTTGAAGTGATGTACTCCGAGATTGTGCTGCAGTCTTGTCTTTTGAAGGGTCAACAGGTGGAATAACTCATTATGTTTTATTTTTAACACCTCCAACCTCCAAGCTGTTTCTCTTTGCGGTTGATTTTAAAGCATATGGAAATGGCTAAAGGCAAAGGATATTTTATTTTCATGAAGTATTGGGTATTGAACAAAAATTTCGCTGTGTAGTGTTAGTCAGAATCAAATACATGATCCCTTTCAAATAATGTGAAAATGTCTGTGCGGACACACATTTACACATTATTTTAGATCATTGGTGTACATAAATGAAACTTTCATTAGTAGGTGTGTGTCTGTGTGTATTTTAATTATTTCTGCCCATTTGACCAAGATACCACTTCTGTTTGAGTCATTTATTACCCCTGGAGTCATAACACTTGTTAAATTATTCTTGGAGATAACTCATTTAACCCTTGATAGATGCTATTAGACTAAGATTAGTGTCAAACCCATCAAGAAACACTAATTTCTCAATCATTAAACTTAGTAAACTGTAATGTGAGACTTTGAAAATTGTCTTCCACATGTACACAAAAGGGTTGGTTTATTCTGTCTTAATGCATTTTTAACAAGAACTATATTTGTATCGTGCCTTTATTATATGGTTCCCAAGCTGATTGATGGATGCCTAATAAGATAAATTGATTAAAAACTGGGGTTAATCTGAGCCAAAACATATGATATGAATATCAGTGGCAAACAACTTCATAAATGAAGAAGATGGAAGGAGTTTTAGAGTTTTGTGTATGGATGGCTGAAGGCAAAGTTATCAATGTTGAGGCAAAATGAAGGGGGCATACAAAGAGATGAATCAATACAGAATTTGGGAAGGTTATAGGACTGGATGAGGTTTGAGTTATGGAAGAGAGCATGCCTTGGAAGAAGGATGAGAATTTAATAATCAATCGTTTCTGGACCATGAGTTGATGCGTATCATCATGCAGAGATGTGGGGTGGTAGAGCTGAGTGGTGTTAATGTGTACATGGTATAACATCATATGTACATTCCTCTTTAGTGTTCCCTAGTGCTGAGTCAGATCTTCAAGTGCAGTCATCTTAGAGCAACATGTTGATGTAGGATTGGAGGGAGACAAGGATAGATCATTGGACTCAACCAGAGATAAAAGAGGTTATTGTATCTCCATCTATGACTGGCTAGGTTCAAATGGAACCAGGTGAGGACAGTCCCACTTAGCTGCACAACAGAGATAAATAGTGGTCGACTATATCAAAAAATACGTAGAAGTTAAGAAAGGAGGAGAGTTTCTACTCCATGGATGCAATCTCAGGCTATGTCAACGTAGACTTGAATTTGGGCTGTTTCTGTGCTGTTATCAGGTAGAAGTCTAATTGTACGGGTTCAAGCGTGGAGATGTGGGATTGATTATCAAGGATTTGATGCCTTGAAAGAATTTTGGGAAGAAAAGAAGGTTGGAAAGAGGGCTGCAATTTGCAAGAATATGGATCAAGGTGAGGTTTTAGAAGAAGGGATGATGGTGAATTTGGACATTGGAAGGTAGAGGGATAGTATATCAGAAGAGAAAATAATTAACAATATCAGCTTAATAACTAGGAAGGGATGTTGGGTGATCAGTAGCTTTGGTCGAATAGAGTTAAGATGGCTACAGGGTTCTCTCCCTGACTACCTGAGCTTGGAGTGGATATGAGGGGAGATAAGTCAGAAACTAGATAAAGATGTGATTTCAGACTTGGAGTGAAGGTGGCTTCTGTGATAGCAGAAGGGAGATAGCTGAGTTGATGTGCTCTGACAAAGAAGTATATAAGCCTGCTGCGCACACTTTTGGTCATGAGAATGAAGTGGTTGAGGAGAGGGGTTTAAGGCATTGGATGGTAGTGGCAAAAAGAAGCCAAGGATTATCCTAGGATCCAGCACGATCTCAGTTAGTGAGCAGGTTTAGTAGAAGATGATGTAACTCAATGCGTTTTAGCCACACTGGTAGTTTATGGCACATATGTCACTTCAGCTAGCCATTCATCCTTGTATCAATTACTGAAGGATTGTTGATCCATTAGTGGATTCTATGGAATGAGCAGGTCATGATTAAGCTTAGTCATGTTCACCTCCAGTCAGTCTGGATTAGAAGGTCAGCAAGAGAGAAAGATGTGCTTTTTGGCATTGCTGGTTGATTCAAATTATGTAATGGCTAGTGGAGGCAAGGACCCTCAACGTGGAATTTTGAGGAGGGGATGATTTTTGTTTTCTTTATTGATTCACCGGATGAGGGCATCGCTGACCAGGACATTAATGGGTTTTTCCTGACAATCAACAATGGTTTCATGGTCATCATTAGACTTCTAATTCCAGATATTTATTGGATTCAAATTCCACCATCGAACCTAGGTCCCCAGAAAGTTATCTGGGTCTCTGGATTAACAATCTAGTGATAATACAACTAGGCCATTGCCCTCCCAGTATCAGAGTGGGTGTGGGCTAGGGACCATATTGCCTTCCAGCCTCCATCTGGAAAACAAAATCCTTGGCTATTCTGGTATGATACTGAACCAGCAAACAGGAAAATCCTGTATCATTGCTAAACCTGTTGATCTCAACCAGGTCAGTGTATTTTCATCATCCCTGAGCAGGACAGGTAATCCTAGTTACCACATGAATCATCTCCTTGAGTAGCTGTTGAGATTATTTCTGTCTGGTCTTTATGCTGTTTCTTTGATTATGTAATTCAGAGGTTCTGCAACTTAAGCCATGTAACAATGCACAATGTGGGGTTACTGTTGCACAGTGTTTGTCAGATCTATTTCCTAATACTGAATATACTGTGAGAGTGTTTTCAGGTACAAACACAAAGATTGTGTTTATATTTGTAGACTTTTTTCGTAATTGAGGAATTTAATTTTTCCCTACCTTTCAAAAAATTTAAATGAAAGAGCATTTTTCATACAGGATAACCTGTGGAATCTGTACACATTTGTACCTCTCCTACCAAATGTAAATTCCTGCTCGGAGGCCTGGCTTGAGAACACTTAAGGAACTTGAAAGCCATTCATGCACTCACCAGAGAATGTGACACAAATCCAAACTCCCAAGAAACTAAAACTGAATGAAATTGAGGTGCAGTGGAATTTTGATTTCATTGACCCCTTCCTACCGTCACTCAAATAAATTTGGAGCAGGACTGCTCGTGATCAGCTTTCCTGTCTGATTGCCCGCTTGAGGGCCTCTTCCTACTGTCACTGAAATGGGCAGGGGAGTCACCACATTGGGAACTCAAAAAGCACAGCCTTGGTGGTAAACAATTTAGCAAATCTATTGATTAGTATCTGAAGCAAGATAAAAACTTTGGAAAAATATGCATCAATATCATCTTGAAATACAGTGTGGGCTATTCTTGTCACCATGACGTGGCAAATGATTACTTTTTTAGGATGTGTTCTGATACGCTATTCCTCATTTATTTGCAACTTATGTGAACCATATACTTTAAATTAGTCACTTGTTATAAAATGTAAACACTTTGTTTAACTAGAAGAAAGATATAGTCTGGATTCCTTTCAATTTCTAACAATGAAGTCATCTAAGTTTGCTATTAGACTTGGAACGTAAGATAATACCATAAGATAGAGGAGCAGAATTAAGCCATTTGGCTCTTTGAGTTTGTTCCACCATTTGACCGTGGCTGATTTGTTTGTTGACCTGTCTTCTACCTTCTCCCCGTAAGCCTTGATTCTCTTACCAGTCAAGATCACATCTTTCTCTATCTTGAAGACATTACATGACTGGGCCTCCACAGCCCTTTGCTGCAATGAGCTCTGCAGATTCACCAGCTTCTGGCTGAAGAAAGTCGTCCTCATCTCATTTCTAAAGGGTTGTCCCATCAC